ACTGTACTTGCTAATGCTTAATAAATGATTTATATTGTGTCGTTACTATAAAGGGTTACCTAAATAATTGAAGTGTTTTGATTAGATTTGACAATGATTTATTTTGTTAAGACAAGCACCTTACATGTGGGTGAATGTATAAACAGTGTGCTATGGTTATTTATTTCTTTCACTAGAGAATAATTTTGAAAATATATATGTTTCATACATATTTGACATTTTATTGGCATGCGTAACAGATACGAGTTCAATTTAATGAATACTTTTATAAAGTGAGTTTTTATATTATGTACAATGAATTGCTGTAAAACATTTGAATGCATTTGGGAAAATTAAACAGTATGTGAACAGTGTTTAATGTTTCCTGTGAGATTTTGTATATTGATTTTACATTCATAATATTTTTTACATTTAAAATTACAAAAAATGAATAGTAACACACAGTTGTGTTAAACACATACAAAAATAACACATCTGTGTGTCAACTTATGCTGCACATTAATGTGTTACATTTTATGACACATTTTGTGTGTTAAACTTAACTCAACATGTGTTGTCCCTGAGCACACTCAGGACATGTGTTAAAAATAACACATGTTGTGTTGTTTTCAACACATTCCTTTTTAGAGTGTAGGTGATATCATCGACTCACAAGTTAAACTTGACTACTCCCTAGATACACTCATTTATACTAGTTAAACTCTTCTACTCACTAATCACTAGTTAATCTCATCTAATCACAAGTTAACCTTGAATACTCTGTAGTTATACTCATTTACACTTGGTAAACTCATGTACTCATCAATCACTAGGTAATCTCCTCGACTCACAAGTTAAGCTTGACTACTCCCTAGTTATACTCATTTACGCTAGTTAAACTCATTGACTCACAAGATAAACTTGAAGACTCCCTAGTTATACACATTTAGACTAGTTAAACTCATCGACTCACAAGTTAAACTTGACTACTACCTAGTTATACTCATTTGCACTAGTTAAACTCATCTATTCACTTATCCCTAGTTATTCTCATCTACTCACAAGTTAAACTTGACTACTACCTAGTTATACTCATTTACGCTAGTTAAACTCATCGACTCACAAGTTAAACTTGACTACTACCTAGTTATACTTATTTGCACTAGTTAAACTCATCTATTTACTTATCCCTAGTTATTCTCATCTACTCACAAGTTAAACTTGACTACTACCTAGTTATACTCATTTACGCTAGTTAAACTCATCGACTCACAAGTTAAACTTGACTACTACCTAGTTATACTCATTTGCACTAGTTAAACTCATCGACACTTTACAATAAGGTTCATTAGTTAATGCACTTACTAACATGAACTAATCATGAACAACACATGTACAGCATTTATTAATCATAATTTAACATTTACTAATGCATTATTAACATCCAAGTCCATGCTTGTTAACATTAGTTAATGCAGCATGAGTTAACATGAACTAACAATGAACTACTGTATTTTCATTAACTAACGTTTACTAACATGAACAAATACAGTAGTAAATGTATTGTTAATTGTTTGTTCATGTTAGTAAATGCGTTAGTTAAGATTAACTAATGAACCTTATTGTAAAGTGTGACCAGATAAACCTGAGTACTCCCTAGTTATACTCATTTACACTAGTTAAACTCATCGACTCACAAGATAAACTTGACTACTCCCTAGTTATACTCATTTACACTAGTTAAACTCATCGACTCACAAGATAAACTTGACTACTCCCTAGTTATACTCATTTGCACTAGTTAAACTCATCTATTTACTTATCCCTAGTTATTCTCATCTACTCACAAGTTAAACTTGACTACTCCCTAGTTATACTAATTTGCACTAGTTAAATATTTGGGACAAAAACTGTGTGTTTAATCTGCTAGTTAAACCTTCACTCTCTGCTCTACTCTTACCACCAGGCTGGCCAAAACTTATTTCAGCTTCATTGTCCAACCCCTGTATGTATACATTTTTTTTTCATGTCTCCAACCTTCGATATTATGGGAAAAATGTAAGTTGGTAATTGAATATGGTTTCGGTTTGAACTTTCGGATATGAGACGATCTAATTAAGAATGTACAAACGAGACTAAACAGACTTTTTATGAATCAGCCACCAAGATTGCCAAAATGGTGTGTGTTTTATAAAACCCTCGTCATCCAGTATAACAAGAAACTGGAAAACTCATGGAAATTATGTTCAAAGGTGTGGAAACTCTAGAAATGTGATGTGTCACAGGCTTTAAGTAAACATGAAGTTCTTTACACACATGAACACGACAGAAGTATTTGACGTGTGGTTCGGTGAGTAAATCAAGAGCGGCTCTGAGCTGTGTTTCCCGAAAGCATCACGAGCTGAAGTGTGCTGTAGAAGCAAATTCATGAATCATATACGTTTCCCATAAGCATCATATCTCAAATGGAGCACTTATAGGGTGTACACTGAGTTTTGAAGCTTTACTTTTTTAAACTATAACATTTTTCTAATATATTACTGTTTTTTTTTGATAAATAAATATAAATTTATACAATTTAAAAATTAAAATACTGTAATTTTTACTTGTTTGAGAGTTTTATTGAGAGTTTTGTACTTTATATTGTGTCGCTTATACTGTACCTGTGAACTTACATGGTAACTAGATGTATTAGTAGTATGTAACTACAGTGTATGTACACAGTATTTACTTGTGTAATACTGGTGTAACTACACACATGTTACAACCCACAATAGTATGTGTAAGTTCAAATGTGTAACAGGACATTGGTAACACCACTAAGAAAGTACACATCTGTAACAACAATTATGTAAGTGCATTGCGTAAAAACAATATGTACTTGCAGGTGTTTTCCCACTTCCACACCTGTTTGCATACCATGTACTTTGTGAACATTGTATAGCAGAACTAATGTTTTATTAGAAGCTTTCAACTTGTGATGCCAGCATACTTACATGTTAACTCCACAGGAACTGTCCACTCAATATAAAATATAAAATAGTCACAAATTACTGTGTTACTTGTAAAAATATCTTCTATGCAACACTTTATTAACAGTGTACTTACATGGTAACTCCTCAGAAACTGTCCACCCAATATAAAATGCAAAATTGTCACAAATTACTGTGTAATCAGTGCAATCTCACGGCAATTCGTAACTTTTTGATTAAGTGGCTAATTCGTATGAATTCGCATGATCTAATTTGTACAATTTAGTACGATTTGCCAATGACGGTTGGGGTTAGGTGCCACGCCTCCTTTTTAAAATCGTACATTTTTTAATGACTGAAGTTGTACGAATTTCTACGAACTAGCCACTAAACTGACAAAACGTAAAATACTTATGGCGTGTACAGAAGCCGATCTCTGATAAGTTTATTATACGTAGCATGTCTGTCAGTCAGCGCTTATACACGCATTCACTGGTTCAGAGGTAGCATATGAAAGGCGACTATCGATGCACAGCTTGAATGTAAAGAAAGTGAATGCAGGCATTTTAGTATTAATTTCAGCGAGCTTTCAAGATTAAAAATATATCCGAAATATGGGAAAATACTTGATGACAGGATGATAGTGAGATAGAATGGTAAAATACGGGAGAATTTCGGCAAAAACAGGAGGGTTTACATGAACGAAGTGAACAGGAAGAGTTTGTGGAGAAACAGTTTTGCGAGATAACGCAAAACGTCTTTGCAAGGGAACGCAAAAAAATAAAAAAATATGTTCTAATATAACTATTTTTTTTTCTCCCACCAATTTTTGTCACTGTAGAGCTAGAATAAAAGAAGTTTTAATTTTTTTGAACACCATTTTAAGGTCAAAATTAATAATAATAATAATAATAATAATAAATTTTATTTGTATAGCACTTTTCCAACATACAAGCAACTCAAAGTGCCTCACAAACAACAACAAAAAAGCATTAAAAAAGACCAAATAAACTTGTCACATATACTCAGATAAAAGCATTCATGTACACAAAATATAAGCATATATGCACATGATCACGCACACAATAGTCCTTATATATGCAAGCACACACTAAACATAAACCATACATACACACAAAAACCTACAACAATATGGATAAATTGCATACACCTTGAAAGCTTGTGTATTCATACCCAATTTTAAAAAGATGTGTCTTAACATGTTTTTTAAAAACATGAATACTAGGGGATTCTTTCACTTCAAGAGAGAGACAGTTCCACATTTTTGGAGCATAATGGCTAAAAGAAGTGCCGCCAGATCGCATCAGGTTTACAGAGTAAAATTCTAAAAGCCCAGCGCTAGAAGTGCGTAGCAAACGGTTTGGGTTATATTTTCATAAGCAGTCGGAAATGTAGGAAGGTGTCATGTTGTGAAGTGCTTTATAAACCAATAAAAGAATCTTAAAATCTATTCTTTGGTGCACGGGTAAC